TTTATACTGTACAACCAGCCATTTTTGCACGATCTTAAGATCATTTGACAATCCGTTTCAAGCCATTTCAATCACAGAAGCACATCAAATCAAGTACAAAAGAGATTTAATGCATCGAAAACCATCTGAAAATGCCAATATCTTATTTTCTGAAATAGACCAAAACACAATCAAGGCAGAGGTAATTTCATGGCTCTGATACCAATTGTAAGTGAAACAAATACCAAAACATTGTTCTAATTAAACACAGAGAACAAATATAACCACTGACCTCCAGCCATTGAAACCAAGAAAATATTTCACTTACAACCACTATGTTTCTCATACTTGCTTTTTGTAATTGATGGTGTATTACTCTATATCAAAAATCAGTGAGAGGACCCAATCCGTATTTATAGAGGTTCTCCCATCAAGAACCTTTAAATTTCAATTTTTTTCCTACCTTAACTAGTGTTCAAAATTTTTTTAAGGCCGCATGTGATGATATAAAATGTTTTAAAAGTTTTGGTTTTTCCAAAATGATAGTAAAGTTATAATAGAAGATCGAGAATTCATTTTATATAAAAACTAACGTCACCTGCTAAAAAAGACGGCAAATGTGCAAATTTCTCTTCCATTTTCTCTAATTTAAGATAGCGATAATTGCATAAGTGGTACCAAACATTTTATTTAGTAGCATACTTTGCACAACCCTTTCATTTGTACTACCCACGGTACTAAATATTTCAAAAAATCATAACTGGAGTCCAATTTAACAGAAATTGTTAGTCTGACCGTTAGTTGACCGAATTATTGACATTGACCATAATTTTGACTAATTTTACAAGGTTAAAATGGTAAGTTTACATTTTAAACAAAAAACACAATTATAATATATTAATAATTAAATAAGAAAAATCAAACACACCACCCACCACCATCCCCTTTTTCCCCAAACCCCTTACCCTAAAACCACTAGTAGCTGTTGTCGACGCCACCGCCACCGCTACCCCACATCAAAGCCACCATTTCTTCCACCACAACTCCACCGCTCATCAAACGATAAGCATAAGCCCTAATCTCTCCATAACTATATCTCGACCCCTTGATTTTCTCGAATCTCTTCTCTTTTTTTTTCAGTGTTCTAAAAAGCGTAAAGCGTTGCATAGCGTTGATGTCGAGAATCAAGAATTACAAGTTTAAGCGTGTCAATGCGGAGAATAAGCGTCATAACGCGTTTCGTACTTTTAATATTATTTTAAGTATAATAAATAGATTTTTATATTAAAAACAAACAATTTTTTTTATATAAAAATAAAAATAAACATACACATGTACTGTTCTAAATAGAGGGAAAAGCGCCGCTATAGTGCGCTTAATCGCGCAATGTGCCGCTATAGCGCGCTAAAGTGGTCAACAAAAAAGGTTGACCGCTAGTTTACACGCATATCACAAAAGCGTCGCGTTTTCTCCACGCTCCGCGCTATAGCGGTGCTTTTTCCCGCTATTTAGAACACTGTTTTTTTCTACTCTCCCGTTCTAATTCAAATCAAATCTCATAACTTCTATATCTCAACTCTCCAATCTGACTGCCTCTTCGTTGCCCCTGCAACTCGTCATCTTGCTGTGTGTCGGTGCCAAAAGGAGTGATCTTGTAGAGCAACAATTTCGTTGTAGTCAATCTAATATAGACATAGTTTCTTTTTAGCTGTGGATTCAATCACGACAGAATCACGCGATTATCAGACTTATTGAATTTAAGGCCTAAGGTATGTATTTTGCGTTCTAGATGAATGCCTGATTCTTTTTTTTTTTTTTTTAGTTATGATAATGGGTGGATTGGGAAATGATGATTGAAACCACGATTGTGCCATTGGTGAACGGTGTAGTGGTTCCAGTGGTAATCACCGATGGTTTTTGGGTAAGGAGTTGGGGGGAAGAAGGGGATGGTGGTGGTGGTGTGTTTTTCTTATTTAATTATTAATATATTATAATTGTGTTTTTTTGTTGAAAAATGTAACTTTACCATTTTAACTTTGTAAAATTAGTCAAAATTATGGGCAAGGTTAATTCTTCGGTCAACTAACGGTCAAACTAACAGTTTCTGTTAAACTAGACTCCAATTGCGAGTTTTTGAAAAATTTGATAACGTGGGTGGTACAACCGAAATGTTTGAATAAAATCTGCTAATAAACGAAATGTTTGATACTACTGCTTCAATGTTTTATTTTGTTATCCCTTTAGGTTTTATTTTGATACAATCTAAATAAAAAACTGTTACTTTTATTTATGTTAATGTTAAATGCTCCTCAGAAAATTCCAATTCCACACGCAAAAGAAAAAGAATTCCAATCCTAATAAAAAGATAAAATAAACCTTACCCAAGTTGAGAAAATAAACATTATTTATGACGTCGACTGCTTTTCGTCATCTTGCCCAAGTACAATTTGCACAAGATTATGGTAAATTTGTGGAATATTCTGGGATGGAGGACGCGGTGTTTCTGACTCCGAAATTCGTCACCGTGTGTGGTGGGCTCCGTCTGCATCAGCTCACCAATTCGTCAACACTTGTTAGTGTTTCAAAATGTTAACTATGCCGCGGCAAATAGTAAACCATGGTTTGATTAGCATAACCCACCCTCTTCTAGCAGCCCTATAAATTCCCACTCTCATGACTGGGTTTGCTTAGTGAAGTAGAGAGAGAGAGAGAGAGAGAGACAGAGACAGAGAGAGAGAGAGACAGAGACATTTATTACTAATTGAGGTTTTTTCCCCTTTCTTTGTTAAATATTGCCAATCACTCTATTAATTACATGTTTTTTTTTTTTGGTTATACTGATTGGATGCTATATTTGATCAGTTGAGAAAATGATTTGAAGAAGAGGGGGGGCACATATACTACTACTTGAGGTTTGATTTAATTTAGTAGTTTGCCCTATTTCTGTGAATCATTAATTTTGCTTCTCTCAAATCTTTTGGATGATATGAATTCTTTCCCGTTAATGGGTTTTTGTTATGTTTATTGATGCTTCATTTTCTTGATGTTTGATTGATTCTTGTTGCATCATAATTTCCATTTTCTTGAGATTGTCACTTTCATTGTGTATTGTCATTTGAGAGCTATTCATATGCATCATAATCTTGAATTCTTTCGGTCGAGCCTTTTTGTTTATGGGTTTTTATCAAATATGGAAATTATACTGATCTTGGCCTTATTTGATCTATTCTATCAGCAAATTTTGATGGTATTTGTAGTTATGAAACCCAATGATGATTACACTGAATCCGAATTTATTCTGTGCCGGGTGATCCAATTCTTGCCAAATCCTCAAGTCAATATGAGTCAATGGTTGTGTGATAAAAATAGTATTAATGATAAAACATTGGCTCTAGAAATGAATGCACTCTCTTCAATTGTATTTATTTATTTATTATTTTTTTTATCACTTTGTCCAATTTCATTCTTACTTACATATACATACAGAAGCGTAGATTGCTAACATGCATACATGCCTATATTCATATATAGATCCATACCCATGTGAGCATGCCTACTAGCTAGTACATGTATGTTTGTTTGTGTGTAAAAAATATAAAATTCTGTGTGCATAGAGTCGCAACTTATTATGTGTTTGTGGATCTTTTATATTCGTCATATGAGCTACTGGCTCACGGTATGTATTTGCTTAATCTTTAGTCCAAGGCTACCAGAAGTATATGCGGTGTGGACAAATTATTATAATAAGCCCAATTTGAAAAATCGACTCTCCAGTCTTCTGCACAAACTTCTGATAGTATAGTTTCGTCGTTTTATTAGTCTCGTAATAATCAATTTTTATGCTGATAATTTCTGGTGTCTTTCTTCACTATTTTATAAAATGCTCAGCATGTATTATGAGACAACTTAAATTTAAGGCAATAATTTTCATTAAAATGTTAAAGAGGGATATTAAACATCCTGAATATGTTCATCTATACATTTGCTTATCTATGTAAAAGTTAATAGCTGGAATTTAAAGTTGTCTACTTTTGTTATACTTAGCTGCATTCTGATTTAGTACGTTATGTTTTTTATCAGTCCAGATAAGATGCTAAATTTTTCTTGGTCTGTCCTCCAATGCCTTCCCCACTCTTTGAAATTGGTTTGAGTGATGAACAAATCATTTTGTCACTTTATGAGTACATATGTGGATCCCCTCTTACAAGTAACATGATATCAGTTCAACTCGACACTAGCTATTGGGAAAATTATAATAATATAAAAGTAACAAAATAATTAGGAGAGGCAAACATTAACAATTGGATCGAAAGGCTAGTAACTTGCTTAGAGATGCAAATCATCTACTCCTATGTAAGGAAAAATCAAGAAATCAGTACTTTTGTTATAGCTCTACTGACATTTAGTTTTCAACATTTACAAGGAGTAAATTTATTTACAGTCTCTCAATGATAAAAATCCTTGTCAAATCATCATGTGGCCTTCGTATATCTGACTTTCAAAGTTAGGATTTATTTTCCGACTTGGATTAGTGTTAAATTTTTTGAAGTGAGACGTATTTTAATAAGGTTGCCTTTGAAATTTAATCAAAGTTTGAAAAATTTTGGTTATTCAGAACTGATTGTAGAGTTATAATAAAAGATCGAGAACTAACTTTATATGTATTAAAGGTAACATCCCTTGCTACTAGAACTATAAGTTAGCAAAGGTGCAACATTTCCCTACCATTTTATCTAATCCAAGATACAATCTAATAACAATACTATGAATTTTATACTAATATGCAACAACAATTTTCATTTAACTTAAATATTAAAAAGATATAAAAACATCCACTCAATATGTTCATTACTGAATATCTTCATCAATATATTTGCTTATCTATGTAAAAGTTAACATCTGGAATTTAAAGTTGTCTACTTTAGTTATACTTAGCTGCATTCTGATTTAGAACCTTATATTTTTTATTTATCCAGATAAGGCGCTACGATTTTCTCTCTCTTCATTGAATTGGATTCTCCATGTGTCCTCCAATACCTTCCCCACTTTCTGAAATTGGTTCGAGTGATGAACAAATCATTTTGTCACTTGATGAGTACTTATGTGGGTCCCCTCTTCCAAATAACGTGATAGCAGATCTAAACCCATACCAGTACAATCCCTCAAATTTACCAGGTTAGTTTGAAGTTCCCATCTTTTGCAGTTATGTTGAACATTTTTCGTTGTCTCTCTGATTGAACTTTTGTCCGGGTTGGATAAAGTTCCCAGTTATGTCTCTCACATGACCGTCAGGTTGTGAGTCTGCAATTGTTTACGAGATTTGAAAGTTACTCTCAACTTTGTTGTCACAAACTAGTTTTGGTAGGTTACATTACTGAGAAGCTTAGATGTCTGTTCCACTTGCAAGATAATAAGAATTCAAAGATAGTTTAGGAATGTTACAACCCTCTCACATTCCCAGAGTATGAGAATCTAAATTTTTGACAAACATTTTTAGGATACAAGTCAATGAGAATTTCATTTTATGCATTTTAGTCGAGTACTTCTCTAGAAGAAGTTGAAAAGTAAAAATCAGAATATAATAAACTCAATATATCTGTACATTTCATTGATTCAATCAGAAGCATTCTTGATTCACCTTGGTAATCATAGATCTTTTTTAAAATTGTCTTCTCTGTTAACTCAGAAATGGATTTCCGGTACACATCAATAAAGGTAAAAGAGTTAATTTTCTTCTGATGAATCAGATAACTTTCTTATGTTCTATTTTCACATGAACTTTGAGGACACCTGGTTATTGACTTGGTACTCATTCGAACACGGATCATTTAATGGGCATTCTTGCAATTTAACCATGATAACTACATTCTTAATTACTTACTTCAAAAATCTGGGTATATGCAGTTGGAATTTGGTACCTCATTCATTCAAATGAGAGAAAAGAGACAGCCTTTGGATTTTGGAAAGCCAAAGGAGAGACTCATGAGATATATTTGAATTCTGAATTAAGTGGTTGGAGAACTACTCTTGAATTTTTTGAAGGTGAAGCCCCTAATGGACGAAAAACTTGTTGGCTTATGCAAGAGTACAGGATAACACAAAAGGGATTATGTCATAAAACCGAGCCAAAGGTATTAGCTGCAACTAGCTGGCATTAGTATATTCCTTAACATCTTCTATACATCATCTCCAACCTTACCAGTCAGAAGCCGCTTTGGTTGGATAATGTGCAGGACACTAAATCACTTTGCAGAATTTTCCTTCCCAGTGTGCATAGCCCCAAAAATGACATTCAGCCCAATTACAACAAGACTGATGTTAGTGCGAAATGCATTGGTTCAGTGGCATCAGTTAACCCGAGCAATAATAATACCTCAGGACAAGATTCTTCAAGCAAATTTGAGGTTGGTTTTTCTATGCATCCCTATTTTTGTTGTATGAATTATTTTTTCCCATGTCTTCGCATCTCTTATTTTTTGTCTTTATATATATAATCCCTTTCTGGCTGTTCTCTTCTTCCTGTTGCTGCTTGGATGGTACATTATATGCAGTGCTATGTTCTTGATGCAGTGATTGATTCTGTTGTCTGATATTCATTCTTTTTATAGTGCATATCTAATTATCTGCTTGAGTGACTTTGTACGCATCTTTTTCCCAATTGAACATGAAAAGGTTAACTAGATAAAGCATTTGCCTGTTTTAATTTTCAAAATGGAGTGCTCTTTAATGACATATATACCAAGATTTTCCTATCTGTTGCCAGCAGCAGTCACATCTGCAGAAATGGATTGCAGGAAAAGAAACTGCCATTGCATATATTGGTTACACTTTGAGATGATGAGGATAAACTATATATTTTATTAATTTTTTAGACGGATTTTGTGGGAAGATTATAGCATCAATTTTGTTTGTATTTGGCCTTTGATGATTCGGTAAGTTGCAGAACCTTAAGGATCAGTGTGATTTTTCCCCATTACGTGTTCTTGTTTGTCGGCTCTTGATTCATGGGGCAAGGGCTCTCGGTGTACTTGTTTTTACGTGTCCTCTGTTTTCTCAGACCTGCTTGTGATTTTGTAGGTGAAGAGGGTCCAGAACACTTTTCCAGATGATTTTGCAGAGCTAGAATGTTTCTCGAGAGGTGACTTCTTGGAATTGGATGATCTTGCAGAACCTGGGTCACTTTCTTCTAGTTCAGAGAATTCAAGTTGTCCAAGCCGGGCATCCGATGAATATTTTGATTCATTGGCATTGTTGCGGGACCTGAATGATGAGGCTAACAAACAACTTCAAGGGAAGGATTTAAGCAAGTATAGTTTTTCTGCAACTGTTAGACCAGATAAGGTGGTTATGAAGCCAGCCACTTTAGGTATGTAGATTTCCAATCACGCTCCTTCTGTGGACCCTATTCATATCATGTTCCCTATTCTGGATACTGCATATATCGTGAAATCTGGAAATTTCGTCTATTATTGTTACACTAATTCATTAGTCACTGATATGATCATGAAGTTCAATTATTTTTCCGAATCCAGGTTTTAAAATGCACCTCACGCACATTTTCAACTTTCCATCATTGTCAGTAGTTTTCAAATGGTGTCCAGACTTGATGCTTGCATTGAACCACATCATCTAAAAGCTTAATCTGTTAATAGAGGGAAGGAATTGGATAGTATTGGAAAATATTCATGAAAGAAACAAGCTTCTTTAGAAGGGAAAGCATGAAATCACTTAACTTAACCAGAAAAATAAATTGCGAAAAAATTGAGTTTTAGCATGAAGTAACATCAATAAACAACAATAATATCAGGAAAGTTTGGGAAAGCATATCACTTTGGTGCATTAGTCTTGGCATAGACTCAGTTAGTGAATGTCAATAACTTGATTGAGTAAATTAATTTTGGATAATTAATCCTAAAGTTCTGAGGAATCACATAGACTACTAAAAAGAAAAAATTCCATAGACTACTAAAAAGAAAAAATTCCATTGACTAACTGTTGTAGACACATTTGGTCATTTAGGTATACCAGTATTCCTTAAGGATATATATGAAGAAAGTTCATCTTGGATTCTGTTTAGTCATCATCACACCTCGACCGAGATGCACACGGGCTGTAATCTGTAATTCTAATTTTACTGTCCTATTGGAAGTCTATCAAAGCATGGCCGCATGTATTTTGTTTTTGTATGCAATTGTCCAATGCGGGCTTATCTAGCTGGTATTTTGTACCCTATGAGACATAAACTCATTTCTTATGCAGCAGATTACTGATTTGCAGCACTTCTTGATTTTTCTCTTTTGAAATGTTATCCTAGGATCTATACAGAGTGCTGCTGGAAGTAAGCATGCAGTAGAAGGATTCCTAACTGGGTCAGCACTCAACCCCAATCAAAGGCAGAAGTCGGAGCACAGAATTGAAGGCGCATCAATTATGTATGATGAAGTAAAGCCATCTACTAGCCAAAAAGCTGTGTCCACCGGAGAAAGAAAGGCTGTTGTAGGCAGAATGCAAAGGCTCAAGGAGATTCTCTGTTGTTTCTAAGCCATCCTCGCCTATCACTCACGTGTACAAATGTAACAGAGTAACCGTCATATTGTCAAAGTAATCAGTTCAGACTCTCTCATTTTATGGTGCAGCAGCCATCCCTTTTATGTTCATTTAGTTGAAGGAATTGCTACTTATCATTGGAGTTCGACAGATAATTTATTAGGAGAAGATAATCGAACATGTGTGGTTAAGCTTAAAAGCAATAAAAAGTTAGATTTTATTATTATTATTATTATTTTGTGGTTTAAAATATGCTTTTTGTTTGGTTAATAACTGACCTTATTTTTTATTTTCGAACAAACTGGTACTCTTTTTGGAAGAGTGGTGACTGCATTTCTGATCTCAAGTCAGTCTGCATTCTCTTCACCTTTTCTTTCTTGGTTTACATTTCTGTGGCTTAGACCCAGATTAAGATGTGAGTCATGTGACTTTTGGCCTCTCGGAAATAAATTTTACCTTCACAGTGGAGGTCCGTTGGTGTCAGTTTTTTTCCTAAATCCCCTACGCTATTATTTACAGACCCTTCTTTGACAAGCATTAGTTGCAAGAGGTCGTGTGAACAAAAACCCTATAAATAGATAGGAACGCATTCCAATCAATTCCCAAAAATTATACATTTTTATGAAATTGGAACTAGTAACTATATATCTTAACATGGAAGTACTCAAAAAACCCATGTAAGCAAAAATTCTCAAGTACTGTTGATCATGAGCCATATAATTATCACTATAAGTAAAAACCATAATTCCAACCGTAGTGATTAACATTGACATAATAGAAGAAAGTCGATCGAATTACATGAAAGGTTTATAAACTTTACATTGACACATAATCACATGAGTCACAACATTAACAAGAGAATTGAAGTCATGCATTTATTGTCACTAAATACAAAATGTGTAACAGACACCATTTCAAACCTATATATTAACATGGAAAATGCTACTTGTACATTAGGGGATACATAAGGGTGTCCATTATGGACATGACCCCACCTGCACTTCATCCAATGGGGAGGTGCCGGGTGTCCATTATGGACACCCTTATGTACACTCCGATGTATTTGTAGCACCTCCCATATTAACATAATGGGGGTTATAGACATTCATTAATTATTAAGTGTATGTCAAATGTCTATTCTCAAAGAATATTCATTATTAAAACCTTACTAGGAAAAATTCGATAGCAAAAATTTTAGTAAGAGAAAAGAGTACATTATTGTTATGAATATGCAAGTAGAGCTGCCTACTTAAAAATATTCAGTGAGACAAAACTTTGGTCAATAAAAAAATATTGTAGCATATATTTGCTCATGTTCATGATGATATCACTTAAGATGTCTGAACCGACGTATTACAATAATATTAACAACTCATCTAAAAATGCTTAGATCAACTGCTTTTGGATGCTCATCGGAGTTCCAATAATGCTTATATCATCAATGTATTCTAATACCATGTCCACATATTGGTTTCTTCGTAAAAATAAATGGGCATATAAGATCATTCTTGCATCTTTCTCTTAACAAGTATCCACTAAGATAATTATTGTTGTCACTTTTATATCCACCAAGTGTACGAATCGTAATAAGTATTATAGTGGATCTAAGAGTCCAAATAATCATTCGTATGAGAACTATTATTTAATACTTAATTTAATATTTCTAACTCATGAATGATGAAAAACAAAGAATTTAGTTTGTGATTGATTATCTAAATTATTCAAATCTTATTAATATTATCTAAATGCACACAATTAATCAAAATTCGATTTTAATGTGGATGTTAGGATTACAATTTCATCTATGAATTCCCATTAATTCGTTAATAAAGATTAATGACTATTATAGTGTTCGTTCGGATTCTTGTAAAGTATTCAATTTATCCCCCCGTAAGTTCAAATTGTCTCTATTTAACTAAGTCAATTTCATATCTTTACGTGAATTCGGATACACCTTTAATAAACACATTAAATTTCTAAGAATTCATGTAACAATCGCATTAACTAAAAAATATATCTCTATACTTTTATACTAATTCCTGAATTATATTATGTAGTTTAAACCTATAATTCACATTTCAACTCGTTACAGATTCACAAGATCATTGAATTATTGACCAAGTAATTCAAAGTATTAAAGTCCATAAATAAAATTAACACATAAAAATTAAACTACTAGAATATTGAAAATTAAATTAAAAGGTCACACATAGATTACATTGTTTGCCATAACTATGAATTTAACTACTCATATTAATAAAAGAAAAATAATAAAAAAAATATAGAGCTCATAATCGAGTTTTAAAATTTTGATAATAGAAAGAATTTGATCTTGCACCAAAAAT